GCGTTTTCCCGCGCTTTCTGGTAGTATACTTTTGAATCCTCATTGTTTCCTTGTCTGATTGGCTGTTATGATACTTTTTCTTTCGATGTTAAAAGCGCTTGAAAACAGGTTTCCTGTATTCAAGTCTTAAGATTAGCTAAAACTGGAATTTATGGTCACCTGTTGGGATAAATGGTTTATAGATAAGAAGATTTTAAGGTTGGAATAACATTTTGCAGGTTTTTAACAAAGAAGGAAGAATCAAACAAAGTAGTGAACCAGAAAAGAGTGAAAATGGTGTCAATGCCCAACAGTCAAATGAACAACACAAGGTGATGAAACCAAAACGAAAACGCTCTCATAGCGAGTCAGAAGTGGACGGACAAAAAACCAGCCGTGAAAGGAAGAGGAAGAGAACTACAAGTGAATCTTCGGTAGATTCTGAGGCCAACGAGCCGCTGATAGATGTGAGGCCGAGTGATGGAGGCAAGCGAAAAGGTAAAGAATGTAAGACGACTGAACAAGATGGCAGTAAAGGGACAGAAAATGGAGAGAAGGGAGGGAAAGACGCGGACGGAAAGGACAAAAAGGGAAAGAAGTTTGTTCGGTGGCAGGAAGGTGATGAACAACGGAGCAGCAATAAAACTGAGAGCGGAGAAAAATCTCGTAAAAGATCCCATGATGATTCTACAAGCGGCGAAGAGAGCGTGGAGCAGAAACGACAGAAGATGATTGACAAGTCGGATATGACCTCGAAAAAGGCTTCTGAGGAGAGTGGCGAAGATGAAACTGTTGAGGGAGACAAGAAACACAAGAAAAGGAAGAGGAAAAAGAAGGAGAAGAAAGAAAATAAATTACCACACTTAAGAGTAATCTCTAAGTAAGTTAGTTTGCATTCTGTTCTGTTCATAACATAAATTCTCTTTAGTTTTTTTCGCCTGATTTCATGTGATATATTTGGGAGAGTTGAATGTTGACCACAACATTTTTTATGCTGTTCTAATCAACCTTTTTCCTTTTACAAAGAAAAATCAAGGGAATGATTAATAATTCCGAATTAAGTGAATTCGCGAAGTTTTTTGGGAATAATTTATGAGGATTTAGAAAAGAGTTCCATGACATTTGGCATATTTACCTGATTCGAGAAAGTTCGAAGGCAAAGCTCTCTGATGACTGAAATTGTTAATTTTTTGCTGAATGCTGAGTGGCACTGGGTTGAATTAAGAGTTCATTATTTTTTTGTTTGTTCTGAAGGTTAGAATGGCTCGAGCTGAAAAAGGAGTATAAAACCCTGCAACGCGAAGCCATGAAGAACTTGAAAAAACAACTGCAAGAAAAAATTCCCGTCAACTCCAGTCAAGCTGGAAACAAACCTCTAAAGTCAACACAAAACAGAGCTGATGCGTCATATAAGGAGACCGAAGAAAAGTCCTCACAAGATGGTGGCGCAACTGTAAAGACGCTATCGTACACTCCAGGAGTTTTGTTGAAGTTCCATTGTCAAGGTCGTGGAATGACCAAAAAAGAGTTGAGGGTGAGAGGAAATAAGATTGCCTAGCGGAACGCAGCGGTCAAACTTCTGTGCATGTGCGACATTGTAATGACTAGATGGCGTGCTTTCAGGCTTACAGAGCCAAGTTGTTTCACACGAGTTTCAAACAGCCGCATAAGCTAGTAAGTCACGGTGTTCTAAAAGTGTGTTACTTTTTTGATAAAGCTCAAAACACGATGGGGGTTTTGCTTGAAAAGCAGTTGTTTCTTATGCTTCCCATTGAAAGTTTGCGCGGGAAATCAGCGTGCGGCCGGTAAAAGTTTATCTCCTTGCACATGCCTCTCTCGTTTGACCGCTGTGTTCATTTAATCAGACCTGCTGGATAACTTGATACAGTACCTGTGCGGACATCGCAGATGTCGCTGGTTCAAATATAAGCGGAGCACTTTGTTATAAATATTTAGGGCGAAAAATGCATGTTGTTTTTCTTTTTTGTACTCGCTTCTCTTAAACACACAAGGTCATGGATAAATTATGAGCGTTTCATTTTTTCCAATTTGTAATCGTAGGAGAAAATTTCATGGTCTGCTCCCGTAGCGTACTTAGATCTAGAAGAAGGCAGTGTTGAGGTAAGGTAAATCTTTCCTAAATAACCGTCACACGATTATATTGACATGGTTTACACAATTCCCTCTAACATATTTTTCACGTTTTGACATTTCTTTTTTATTTCCTTGGTTTGCTGTTGGGTCGAGCATGCATGTAGGAAGTAAGTGAAAAGGCGCAAAATTTTAAACTACTTCATGACAATAGCGCGACAGTTCCTCAAGATAGGTTCTTTAAGTAACCGCTGTTTGGGAAATGAGCCCGCGCTCCCTCCGCATCCCAGCATATTTCTAGCCGAGAATCTGTTTAATGCAAGATCATTATTGAATTTTTTTTTTTAATTTTTGCAGGGTTATGTTCGCTTTCATACTGCAGAAAATTGTAACCTGGTGCTTCAAAAAATGTCATCCGCAAACGATGAACTGCAGCTCAACAAACTGACGGGTAATTTTAATTAGCTTCCCAGAGGTCTGAAGAAACAAAACCTTAAAGTTTCGATTGAAAGTCGGGGAAAATGATAATTTGAAAGCACCCGCGTGCGTTCTCGCACGCGCGCGTTAGTCCTGCTCTCGCCGCACGTCTACCACGCAAGTTATACTACAGTATGAAAGGCCTGGAAAGCTTTTTTCGGAAAATTGAACGAAAAAGATTATTTGGTGGTAGAATGGACGGCTGTAAGGTGATACCAGACGCTACTAGTACATGTTCAATTAACAATTTTGATTAATTATGGGAGAGAAACTTTATCGCAATTGAGAAAAGTCGAGGAACTTCGAAAACCGAAGTACGTGGTAACAAGATGATTGCATGATGACAAATTGAAGAGGAAAAGGGAGTACCTCACCTTTTAGAATTCTCTCAGTAACTGCAAGGAGACTTTGAAATGTTTCCATCTCGTATTAACGCTCTTTAAAAGCGATTTTAGCTTTTTTATTTTACCTTTTATCTTTGAATTTGCAGAGGAGGAAGAAAAATCGTATTGGGAAAAGATAAATGCTGATCGTATGAGTAGATATAATTCTAAGAGGGAGAAAAAAAGAGGAACCGAAAAGGTAGGAATTCTTGATTTAACAGATTCTATCATGATTTAGAACGTTCGTAATTCTTTCTTTGCCCTCTCTGTGGGATTTCCAAATTCTAACGCAAGAACTGTTTTAAATTTAGTGCAAGTACTTAGGGGCGTTAAAAAAACATGCTACGTGAAGCGTCATTTTGCTTTCTGTAGAGCAGCCTCTTGCAGAGGAAGATTATGCCAATGTTAACATCATAAGATTATTAGAGGTTAAGTATAGTTTGACCAGCCTTCTTTGTGCAACTAACTTGAAAACGGAAAACAAACTTAATGAACTTTTTTGAGTTGTTGAACGGGTTCTTTCATTTTGCCTGTAAAACGAAGTTTATGTAAAATATCTTATATGTAGCTTTCGGATGACCTTATGGGTCTTGTTTCGCGGAAACCATTGCCATTTTGCCCTGAGTTGTAGGAAGAACCTCATCCTGTGCGCTTTTTAAATCTTCTAGTGTAGCATTGTTTTCTGAAATTGCTGTTTTGCGTGAAGCGGAAACATGCATCGTTTGGTCGTACTGAGAAACGTGAATTTTTTTCACCCTTTAAATCCCATGAGTGACCAAGACAGAATTTTTCCTTACAATATCAATACAATATCAGGCAGGCTAGTGATTGGAATAACGAAAAATATCAATTATAGGATCATTAGTTGATCCAATACTAAATTCTTTAAATCAACGTAATGTGAATTGTATGGCAGACAGTAGGGAGAATTACCAATGAGATCTGGAGAGTGCCAGGGTTAATAACTTAGAAGTAAAGTTTGAAGCTTTTAGGGTTGTTTTATAAAAACAGCGTGACTCTTAAGACTCATCACTTTTGCTTGCCGCTCGGTTAAAAAATTAGGTAGCAAGAGAATTTGAAACGTAGACTCAACTGAAGTTAATGGTTTTCTGTGGTTTTATAAACTCATGAATTTTCGTAACTTACGCAGTTGTTTAGACAGGATTCATTTTTAGTTGCCAGTGTTTCTGTCGTTTATTTGGTGGATTAATCTTGTTTGGTCTCGCCTTTTGGTCAGTGCTGAAACCCAAACACGATTACAAAACTGTGTAATAACGACAAATTCTGCGAAGCGTGCTTTTGATTTGGCGGTAATTGTTGGATCACATAGGCGGCAGCGCTATGAGTTGAAATACAAAGCCAACCAATCAAAACTATACCGCCGTGAGAAGCTTATTTTATTCCAAGTGACGTCAAGTCAAGTCAAAGATACATTGCTAGCACTACGGCACTCTTTGCTTATAAACAGGCTCAGCATGGAGGAGGGCAACCAAAATTTATTCTCACCAATGTCAAACGAAGCCGAGTCGTAACGTAATGAATAAGTCAATCCAAACCCATTTCGTTAACCAGATATATTTCCTACTAACACACAGACATAATGTTTTTCTAGAATAACCCTCCGACTGACAGGGGTCACTTGTCATTGTGCTATTTAGCTTTATTTACAGGCCAAGTACACGAAACATTTCGACGAAACATTCCAACGCAGCTTCGCGCAACGTTTCAGGAATCTGTTGTGTAAGGACAAAATATTGTGCAACTCTAGGAAAGGAACGATTCGAAGAAACATTAGTCAGGATGCTACTAGCATCGGTTCACTTGAAAGAACGCAGCCCACGACAACATCGTTTAATCTTAACTTTCTCATGGTCAGTTAGGCGCTAATTTAATTGCAGTTGCTAGATGAACCCTGACAACCCACGCATTCCTTCCTAATGGTTATAAAAATAAAAAACAATGCTGTTTTGTGATGCGTTATTGATTGATTATCACTGTAACCTATTGTTTTCATAACCATACATGGAGTTGTGACGCATAATGTTTCGACACGCACAACCGGAATGTGTTGATTGATTATCAAAACTCGCTGGCTATTCTGAGGCTTTCGAAAAATGTGTAACCACCATTATTAATGATGTAGCGGATTGTCCCTCTTTACTGCTATGAGTGGTCTTTTTCAGTGGTATTGGAGCAGTGGTATTTGAAGTTTATCTTCATCTACGAACATGCTGGCAGCGAGGTCCCAGTCTTGTAATTACAATTTTAACGTCATGGAACCTCTTCTCGCTTGCAATTCAACGCTCTGTTACTTACAACGGGGAGTACAACGAGGTAATTTCTATGAATAACTTGAATGGAATTGCTAAAAGATTTGGCGATAAAGAAAACTTTGAGCATACTCAGAGATGTGACAGGCAAAATTTGGATTTTAATCGGCAGTACTCTATTTACAATCTTCCTCCTAATCGAAAATGGTAAGTCGGCGTCTGACATCCTCTGTGAAGGAGAATTCAACGACAAGGATGAGAACCTCATCAGCAAGAAGTGTTATTTTGAATACCAGAAAACATACAGCAAACTCCCCTTGTATGCCTTCGTCCTCATCAATTTCTTCACTCTCGCAATCGGCCCTATTATTTACTCAATTCTCCTCCAATTCAAGGTCAACAAGCTCCAAACCCATAACCAAAATGTCGAGGCACAGCTTCAGCAAAATCGAAGAAGAGGTCTTTTTAACGCGTACTGTTGCCAGCTAGCCGCCACAATTGTTTTGGCGACTTTTTTTATCATCGTATTGCAGACTCGCGCTTTTCGTGCGAGTACCAATTTTCCGTCGAATTTTAACTGTACTCTTTCGAATCAAGGTTCCAATTCCTCGGCGTTTTCATCCGCATACGGCTCACTGACAAAAACTGATATTTATACGTGTCAAAATACACGAGCAACTGAGAAATCCAAGGGGAGTATTGCCTTGACTTTTTTCAATGGATTCTGGGCCATTTTCGCATTAATTGAACTCGTCTGGATCTTTTCAAGGGCAAGGAATGGTCTGCAGTTCATGTATGACCCTCGATTTTATGCTGATCATTTGAGATCCAACCGAGAGCAAGAGCAGCGGCAACAACAGCGGCAACAACAGAGTGAAGAAACAGGACTTCTTTCCGGTCTTCGATCTGAACAACAAGCGGAACTGCAAGCGAAATTGGAACGTTTAAAGGTCTGTATACAAATACGCACGGAGCGACTTGAAGATCTGAATCAACCTATTCTAACTCGACCAGGAGAAGGCTCAAAACCTAAAGATCTAGAGCTCGATTCAATTTTTGTTAAGTTGGTAATCCATGATCGTATAGCGAACTATGACTTTCCTGAAGATAGATGGGAACAACTCAGAGTATTCCCAAAACCGAAATCGAATCAGTCTGAATATGTACCTTGGCAAGATATCATTGATGGTAATAACAAACGTATTCTTCTTGTTGGACGTCCAGGCATTGGTAAAACAATCTTATCCACTAAGCTGCTTCGAGGGTCTGCATTCAATGGGTTCAAGTACCAGAATTTTGATGTTGCATTCCTTGTGAAATTTAGGCACTATAACTCTAGAGGAGAGGACCTTGATCTTCGCAAATTGCTGTCTTGCTCACAAACAGAAAGCCAACATCTGGATGATGAGGTCTGGAACTACATTATCACTAACCCAACCAAAGTTCTGTTAATTTTTGATGGAATTGACGAGTTTAATGCCAGGTCAGCGATCTCCAATGATGACTCGCGTTTCAATGACTCAAAGGAAGTGAAAATGCCTCTCCATTGTCTCTACAAAAAAATAGCCTCTGGAAAACTTCTTAAGGGTGCCACTGTTATTACCACATCGCGACCAACTGCTTCCTCATGTGTTAGACAGCTGAGATTTGACAAAGTATTGGAAATTCTTGGCTTTACATCTGAAGAAATTGAAGACTATGTGACGAGGTTTACCAAAGAAGACCAGAATCCCGAAACCGAAAAGAAAGCAATATGGCAACACATCAGCACCAACTTCATTCTCTTTACTTTGTGCTATGTTCCGGTGAACTGTTTTATCATTTGTTCCTGCTTGTCATGGTGGCGTTCCCGTGGCAAAAGTTTACCTACAAAGCTTACTAAGATATACAGTACAGCGCTTAAGATTTTCTACTTCAGACATAATGATAAATATCGCATGAGTGAAGAAGCCCGTGATCAGCTTTTTTTAAAACCATTTCACGAGTTACCCACTGATTGTAAAAAGGAATTTCAAAAACTAGGAAAACTTGCTTTTGATGGAATTAAAGAAGGAAGACTACTTTTTACTTCAGAAGAAGTTGAAGGACTAGAGGATTGTGGATTGCTCCATCGTTTACCTGACCTGCCTAGCCAGGAGGGACTTGATGAGGACAAAGCTCAATACTGCTTCATTCACCTTACATTTCAGGAATTCCTTGCTGCTAGGCATGTGGTTGATACCAAGACAGAAGCCCAAGCATTGGAAGAATTTATCGATGATCACATCAATGAAGGTTCATGGCAATTAGTGGTACAATTTGTGGCTGGATTATTAGTTGACACTGATGAAGTTAAACAACTGCAATTTAGCAAAATTTTGATGAAGCTTCTTCCCATGTCAACTTCTAAAGTAGGAGGTCAACTGGGACTGCTAGATACAGAGTGCTTGATGACCGAAAAACCAACTGTATCAATTCGTTGGCCGCATGGTGAAAGTGAAACAAATTTAGCTGTGACCATATGTAAATGTTTATACGAGCTAGACATAAAGCAGGAATCTTCCATAACAAGTAAAATGGAAGAAATGTCTTTTGATGAGGTGTGGTTTGGTCGATGCAAACTAGCACCTGCCGACTGTACAGCAATTTTACATTTGCTTAAAAATCGTGATGAAAAATTCACGCTGCATTTGGGATTTAACTTCATGGGTGATTTAGGTTGCATGGAAATTAAAAAATGGATTGTTAAAAGTAATTGCGTGGAGTTGGACTTGACTCGTAACAATATAGGAGAAAAAGGAGTAGAATACTTATGTGATACACTGAAACTTAAAAATTGTAATCTCACTGTGCTAATCCTGGATGGTAATCACATCGGAGACAAAGAAGCAGAACTCCTGAGTACTGCAATTAAAGATGGAAATTGTAAACTAACTAGGCTCCACCTGAATAGAACCAAAATTGGAGTCAAAGGAGTAGAACACCTGAAAGATGCACTAAAATGTGTAAATAATCTCACCGAGTTAAAGTTGGCTTGTAATGACATAGGAGACGAAGGAGCAAAATACTTAAGTGATTCACTGAAATGTGAACATTGTAAACTCACTGTGCTAAACCTAAGACAGAATCGTTTAGGAGACAAAGGAGCAGAACACCTTAGTAATGCACTAAAAGATGTAAAGTGCAAACTCTCTGCACTGAACTTAAGAAAAAACATTATAGGAGCAAAAGGAGCAGAAGTCCTGAGTGATGCACTGAAAGACAAAAATCGTTACCTCACCATGCTAGACCTGGGAGATAATAATGTAGGAGACAAAGGAGCAGAACTCCTGAGAGATTCACTAAAAGATGCAAAATGTGAACTCACTATGTTATGCCTGGATTTTAACAAGATAGGGGACATTGGAGCTAAACACCTGAGTGATGCAATTAAAGATAGAAATTGTAAACTAACTTTGCTGCAACTGGGCAAAAACAACATAGGAGACCAAGGAGCAGAATACCTGAGTAATGCATTGAAATGTAAAAATTGTAAACTCACTGCGCTAAGCCTGTTACAGAGTAGTGTTGGAGACCAAGGAGCAGAATACCTGAGTGTTGCACTGAAAGATAGAAATTGTAAACTTACTCTGCTAGACCTGGAATCAAATGCTATAAGAGACCAAGGAGCTAAACACCTTCGTGATGCACTAAAAGATAGGGATCGCAAACTCCCTAGGCTGAAGCTGAGACTGGGAGGTAACCATATAGGGAAAAAGTAGCAGAACAACTGGGTGATGCATTTATACACCTTGGTTATGAGTTATTTTTGAAACATTAAGCATTTAGCCTCCCTTTATCTCTGTATCAGTGGCAACATCTTTACTATTTATAATTGTAGGAAATAAAAGAGGAAGATGTTGGAAACTTTACGCTTTGTTTCTTGTAACAAGAAGGAAAAGATATCTGATGGGTTTCTGTACATAGGATACACAATTTGATCAAATTCAATTACAATACAGCATAATTGGGTGAAAATATTACATTGTGTAGCAGCAAAGCTGCTGAAATTATAATGAATTGTGGTCAATGCACCCAGAACCAGCAAAACCTGAACAGACTATACCTTTTTCGATTAAAAAAAAAAGCCACGGAATACACAGCTGCTTTGAAATAATTCAATGTTTATGCCTTAAGTACAGTTTGCTTTTTACTGACTTGTTAAGTATCAAAAAACACAGTTTGTGTTATGAAGACAGATTATTAAGAAAATGCCGTGAAGGGAAATGAATACTTGTTCAACATATTGGGATGTACAAGTTACTGACAGTAAAATCCCAATAAATGTATGATACCCATCCAGAGAGTTTTTGGTTCTCAATAGTGAGGATTCAAGGCATTAGAAATGACTTGGAGGAGCTGAACAACATTAGTGCATGTCACAAGTTTGGGCATGTATCCATAGCAACAGTGTATATTGATTGTGTTAAAAGTGATGATATCCTTTACCATTTAAAACTCTATGGAGCAAAAATAATTTGGTAGCTATTGATGATGAATGGCAAGAAGACATATTGACATGGTTGCAGCTTAAGCCACATAAAATGTGTGTTTGCAATTAAATAACAACAACTTACAGTTAAATTTTGACAAATGTGCAACAATAGAGCTATTGTGAGCATAGGAAATTTTGTGTCCTTGTTGAAGGACGATCTGTAATGCAAGTTTTATGCTTCACCTTTCCACTTTCATCTTGAGCTGGGTAAAAGACTGCGAGTGACTGTATCAAGTGGCTGTAGATCCTCATTAAATTCCAGAGTGTACTGGGTGTTTGGTCATGGGTTGGTCTCCTGTTGGACCTGGGGTCTATTGCAAAAATCTCTCTCTGTAATGGCTGTTCATGGAAGTTGACTTAAAACTTACAATTTGGTGGATATGCTTTTACAAGACAGGAGGACAAAAAATTGGCATAAGTAACTTGGCGGATATGAAATTTGAAAAAAACTGGATGCATATTTGCATTTATTCAGGCTTTCTGTTGGAAAGAAACTTTGTTTTGAATGCCTGCAGTTACCTAATTTTTTTATGCAATTGTTTTATCCTGTAACTGTTTGTCTTGTTATGCCAGAGATGCAGGTTTCTCACATATGTATACAGAGAGCAGAAAACAGCATTTGTTATGTAGTGTGTAGAACCTTTTCTGGGATGGGGTTGGGGGAGGTAGTGCCATATATTATTGGCTGTTATTTCAATACTTATTACTAAGGATTATTTCCTTTTTTTTTTTCTTAGTTTTGACTTGATTAAATTTTGTTTTGTGGGTTGAGGGGTTGTAGCAGGGTGAGTCATTTGCCAAATAGGCTGTCTTCTTATGTTTTCATTTTCTTGGTTAACAAAAGATTCTAGGCTGAGATAGCTTTTAATTATAAACAGCCTCAACTGTTAGGGTGATGACATTGAACCCATGCAAGAAAACCAATTGCTTATTTTTCTTATCACCAAAAGAAAACAAAACGTCGCCACTATAGCTTATTAGCAGATGAACTTTTAATTTAATGGGGTTGTTAGAATGGTTCTCATGAACCTATGAAATATACTTTGGCATATTTTGTATTATTACCCTCCAATTTGTTTGTTTCCATTTGGAGTTACAAGGCTAGTATACTTTAGCTAATACATTTTGGTTTATTGGTTAGAATAATTTTATTAAACCTGGTGAGTACTAAGTAACTGTTCGTGTTTAGGTTGATTTCCATTTTCCGTGAAACAATTTGCTACATGAGCTGATCACTCTTGCAAGAACACATCAGTTTGTAACTAGAAAACAATGTTAAATATCAGCTGGCACGATATTTTATCTTTCTTATGCTTTGATGAATTCTTTCACGACAGTTAAACTAAAATGTCGTTTTATTTAATAGTTCTTTTGCATTTACATGACAGAACTATGTAGGTTACATGGGTATACATGAAAGAATACGTGCATAGACAAATTCTCTAACCTTTCTTCTCTTGTTCCTTAAACTTTTCAAACTTCGTATTGGTATTCTGCTTGGTTCGCGATCGCGTCTACAAACACGATGCTATTTGCGTTTTTGCTTCGATTAACATTAGATAGCTCAGTTAATATAGCATGTTTCTAGATGAAAGATTCACTCACAAATGTTCGCTTATAAAGAGATCTCTCGTAAAGTTCATGAAATATTTTAGTGTGGGTCTACCGCGAACGCTGTGTGCATATTTTGTATGCGTTTTGAGCGTATTACACACAGTATCTGTGCTGGTTCTGCACTGCAAACACTTCTCTTCTTCCGCCATTACACCATGCCATGTGCTCACCTCGTCAGTCAAAATGTTTTGTGCATGCATAAGAGTCAACACTTAGCGCATGCGTGTTAAGTACTTGACTGCTGAAATTTCAACTCGGGCGTCTGAGTAAAAACAGAAACTGCTGAAACATCATCAGTCTGGAGACCCTCTGGGCTGAGGAATGATTGACATTAACGCAAACAGCATTATCCGCTACCAGTGGGCTGCCGTTGGTGTGAATATGTGATGATCGTGCAGACTAATCAACTTTCGCCGCCCCTCCCCCCACCGTCCACTCTAGCCCTTAATCAAACGTGGCCGGTCGGATAAATGATCGCGATCTTATGAGACGCTTGCACAGAAGGCTAACTGTTGTCAACCATATTTTTATTCCATTTTTAGGTTTCAAAAAAGGCAGAAGCACTACAAGTCCAGCGACAAAGTCATATACGTTTTAAAGACAGCGATGGTGAAGAGGAAACCTAAGATCAGAAGTGAAAAGAGCCCCACATGTATCCGAGGCAAACATTTTCTCTCGTGGGCTTCGTACTTGGACTTAAAGGCCGGTGCACTTCAAATGCGACAACTTTTAAGAGCCGTGGCCATTAAATACTATTTGATTATACTAAAACACAAGGAGGGTGCGGGCCGCTTTTTCCAATACAGTGACCTATGTTGCCATACCAAATAGAGGTATTGACAGGCTCCTAGCTCGTTCTGGTCATTAAGTTAGGAAATGAGGCTACAAACTCGCGCAGTGCTAAAAAAGGAAGGTTCTTGATCTCGACGCAACCTTCAAAGTTGGAATAAGTGGCTAGAATAGGAAGCTTTATAAAATCTATACTATTCTTCATCCCCCCCACCCCCCCTGTTCGCGACGATTGATCCTCCTCGGCCCCGTTCCCCCTGAAATCACCCTCAAAATGTTCCCCACCCCTCCCCTCCATAAATAATGACAGGTCCCCTAACCCTTTACCTCCCATGAGTGACTAAGAGAGAATTTCTCCTCACGATAGAAATACAATAGCAAGCAGAGAAGTGATGAGAATACGGTCAAGTTAGGGGATTATCAGTTGATCCGATACTAAATTCTCCAAATTGACATCATAAGAATTGTATGGCAGACAGTAAGGAGAATTATCAGTGAGATCTTGGGAGTTAAAGGGTGAACGAAAGCTTAGAATTGGACTAAACATGTGAGCTTGTCGATTAATCTCCCACTTTATTCTAGTACAAACTAACATGATGTCAAGATGGTCAACAACAAAAAAATTTGTTTTCTTGTGTTCAGCCTCTGTTGGTTTAGTCTAAGATTCCTCGGCCAAAGGAAATCGTGATTTATGGTGTGTACAACAACGTGGATGAATCGTTAATTTTGTATTTGTCAGCAAAATTTTGCGCTTTGTTGCCCAGTTTCTTTGTGTGCTTCTTTTTTCTTATAAACCTTTCCTCTTGCTCAAACAATCCCTCTTTGTCCCACTCGTCACAAAACCGCGAACTCTTTAATCGATTCCAGAGATCCCTCTTTATGCAAACGAGAACTACGAGGACTTAAAACAGATGGGAAAATATGTGAATATGAGCAGTTTTGACATAAGAATGCAGCTTCTTTCACAAAGGATAAATCACTGTAACTGGTTTGGTTTAGGGTGAATTTGCCTCATTGCAAGTTCGCCCCTACCTCCTTTCCGACTTCGCCCTGTAACGTACAATAAGTTCGCCCCTACCTAAACCAGTTCGCCCCAAATCCTTCAAATCGCTTACTTTCCTCAGAAGGTAGTCATTTCCTGCGGAAATCATGACGGTTTACAACCAACATGTAATTTTCACAGTGATGCCGTAACAAAGTTCGAACAACATGCAAATTCTTAGCTGCGCTAACCCTTTAACCCCTGAGAGTGACTGGCATCTAATTTCTCTTTACCAGATCACCCCTAAATAAAACATTAAGGTCATGAGAATAAAGGAAAAGATCACCAATTAAAGAAGCTCTTGATTGTGAAACAAATTCTCCTTTTCAGAACCTTAAGAAATGTAGAGAGAAAGTGTGGAGAGTATGCACATTGATCTTAGTGTGTAAAGGATTAAAACGCACGACTAATGGCAAAGCTGCTATATTACTCCAGTCTTTGTTTTGTTTTAGTCATATTTTTGTGTGATTTTAGTAACCATACCTTATACCCCCCCTCCTCCCCCCTCATGATGATACTGATAATGAAATTAGTGACCGAAGCATTTGCAAATTACGTAAGTTTAAGAAAACTTACTACAGGAGCTGAAAATTGATGGAAATGACCGAAATTATACAAATTAGCAGCATCGGTCTATTAGGATGAGAACTGCTCTTAATTATGGATAACTTTTTCTATTTTGCCTGTAGGTTACCATAAGCAAGTTCATGTTGACAGTCCGGGCCATAAACAGTCTTGTCTATACCATGATGTCATGAAACATGGCGTTACAGTCCAATTTTTAAAACCTTAGAAAACTTAAAGTCCCGCATTTTTGGGTTGAAATTCCTAATACAGTTTTCTTGAATTTTTTAGTATCTGCTCAATATGTCCCCTTAATCCCTGTTGGGGCCACGGTTTTTGACGG